GACCAATCAAGGAACTAATGAGTTAATTAATCAGAGACTAGTTAATTTATCACCTTCCATTGTCAGTTGCACTTGTACCTGTTGCGTGTCCTCAATCTGGTAACCCAGATGAGTCTGAGAAGGAGGGGAAGGGAGAAACAATTCTCTCCAATATATTGAATTTGGACTTCAGTACCCATTTCAACTGCTAGCTTTCAATATTACATACTGCACCTTTAATTTTTTGCTGTATTTAACAGACATTTTATATTATTTTACTGTTAAGTAATATCATTTAAGCACTACCAAGTAGTGGTAATATTGGGTTCTCACATTGCGTTTTTCCCTCTCAAGTCTGTCCAAACATCATTACAAGGTCTCAATGGGGAGCTGCAGCTTTCATTGGTTCACCCTCCTATCTGTCTCTCCCTGTGCCGTACCTTTTCATCCACCACACATATCAACCCTCCACGCCTTGCACCACCTTTGATCAATGTGCCAGTGACATGCGCTCCATGCAGCACTACCACCAGCAAACCAATGGATGGTCTGACATTGGATACAGGTTAGGAAAGCCCCAATTTGGACCATAAAGCCGATTATGCAGTTTAATTTCTTATAATTATCATTATTCGTCCCCCTGTAGTTTTGTTGCAGGTTCTGATGGAAACCTGTATGAAGGCCGTGGCTGGAATTGGGTCGGTGCCCACACTTATGGGTACAACTCTAAAGGATATGGTGTCAGCTTTATTGGAGATTATACCTCCACCCTCCCCATCAAGAGTGCGATGGACATGGTGAGGTACGACTTCACAAGCTGTGCTGTGAACGGTGGTCGACTGTCTTCATCTTACTCCTTATACGGACACAGGCAAGCTACTTCCACTGACTGCCCAGGAAACTCCTTCTACCATGAAATCCAGACATGGGAGCATTACCAGGTAAAAAGATAAACAAATGATTCACGGGATTTATTATACTTAATAGTTTCTGACTTGCAGAATGTATTGCATTAACAGTTCAGACCTTAACTGTGTCTGTGTGTGTGTTTCTCTGCTTTTCTCTACAGAGTTATTTGCCTTGAGGACTGTGGCATCAACAATGAACGCAATCAGCTAATTGTGTCTCTGGAAATCAGTACATGTATTACATGTATCTGTCATAATAAATGCATAATAAATTACTTTTGAAAATCATAACTATTGTTATTATTTATTACACAGTACAATACAAATTAATCTAGTCAAGTAGTCATTAATCAAGGCCAATTGACCGTTCGCAAAGACCCGCCTTCCTTAGTTACTGTTGCTATCCCCGACAAACAATGCCACTCTCACAGTACACATCATGTTCTCACGCAGTGAAAAATACATCGCAGAGCAAAGAGGAAACTGACAACGTGCAGACAGACAATACAGAGTACGTTACTCTCAGGACTCTCAGCTTTCAAATTTTGTCAATTTTAAAGAAATTCAAACAATAAATACCATTTTGTGGCTCTTCAGTGTGTCGTGACAGATCACTGTATTGCCACAGTTCAAAAACATGAACCGATTGTATTTTCATATTTACGTGCAGAGTTGGGTCCGAGTCTACTTTGTCGAGTCATAGTTTTTAATCAATAGAGTTTAAGTGGGAGACGTTTATTAATGTCTTTTTATATTAATTTTATGATGTTACCTTTTTTTTTTTTTTTTTAAAGTACCTTTACAAAATGCTAATGTTCAAGTACATTATTTTGATCAGACACATCGCCACCCTATTTTACTAGAGATGCACAAATAGCCGATTAATTCAGAATGATATCTGCCGGTACCGATAGTTTGATTTTCTTAAAGGGTTAGTTCACCCAAAAATGAATATTAGCTTGTGTTTTACTCACCCCCGAGGCATCCTAGGTGTATATGACTTTCTTCTTTCAGACGAATCCAGTCGGAGTTATATTAAAAATTGTCCTGGCTATTCCAAGCGTTATCATTGCAGTCCGTGGATGTTTCTGTTGAACAGTCCCCAAGACGTCAAATAAAGCGCACAAATCCATAATAATAAAATGTGAGGCACGTTTATTATGAATGTGCGCGATTTATTTGACGACTTGTGGACTGTTCAACTGCAACACCTGCTTGACTGCAATGATAGAGCTTGGAATAGCCAGGACAATTTTTAATATAACTCCGACTGGATTTGTCTGAAAGAAGAAAGTCATATACACCTAGGATGCCTCGAGGGTGAGTAAAACAGTCTAATTTTAATTTTTGGGTGAACTAACCCTTTAAGGAAAATAAAATCTCTCCTAACTAATGCTGTAAATTATACAGGGAACTATAATATTATAATATTACAGGTTATAATATTATATTACTATAATATTACAGGTTAAAATTAACAGCAGAAATTATATTTAACTGTTATTGTCAGATATAAATATTACTCAAAAACTGAAATGTCTGTATACAATTCATTTGCATACAAGGTAGTTTTCATAAACACCTGTCTTCATGCCAGATTTATTCAAACATACAAACATAATTAAAAGTAAATAAGCTAATCTTTAGTGTTTTTTTAATGCAAAATAATGAACTGTGAACATTGGATATCTTTTCTGAGGTAGATACAACGTTAAGTTACATATTGTTCACAAGCTATGATATTGGCGTCTTTCCGCAGACGAAAATACAACTTCCACTGATTGAAATACATTACATAGTCATGAGAAGTCTCATTCATTTCCATGAACTGGTTCTTTTGGATGTTTCATATCCATAAATGTAAATGTATTTCATAATGTAATCACATAATGACATCAATTGCATGTATATTTCTAACATTTCAGGTTCATGGTATGATCATACTGAAACATTCAAATAAATTGGCATATGTGTAAATGCATATTGCTGATTATTACCTCAAAAGAACGAATTGTTCAAGAATGACTGACATGACTGCTGGGATGGGTTACAAAGCTATTTCAAAAGCTGTTGGGCTCCAAAGAACCATGGTGAGAGTCATTATCTTCAAATGAATAAAACTTGGCACAGTAGTGAACCTTCCTGTAGAAGTGGCCAACCTTCCAAAATTCCTCCAAGAACACAGCGATGACTCATCCAGGAAGTCACAAAAGATTCAAGGAAAACAGAAGGAACAACAAGCCCCGCAGACGAAAATACAACTTCCACTGATTGAAATACATTACATAGTCATGAGAAGTCTCATTCATTTCCATGAACTGGTTCTTTTGGATGTTTCATATCCATAAATGTAAATGTATTTCATAATGTAATCACATAATGACATCAATTGCATGTATATTTCTAACATTTCAGGTTCATGGTATGATCATACTGAAACATTCAAATAAATTGGCATATGTGTAAATGCATATTGCTGATTATTACCTCAAAAGAACGAATTGTTCAAGAATGACTGACATGACTGCTGGGATGGGTTACAAAGCTATTTCAAAAGCTGTTGGGCTCCAAAGAACCATGGTGAGAGTCATTATCTTCAAATGAATAAAACTTGGCACAGTAGTGAACCTTCCTGTAGAAGTGGCCAACCTTCCAAAATTTCTCCAAGAACACAGCGATGACTCATCCAGGAAGTCACAAAAGATTCAAGGAAAACATAGAAGGAACAACAAGCCTCTCTTGCATTAATAATTCTATCAATATAGAATAAAAAAATAATTATGCTCTCTACCACAACATCATGAAGAAGAATGTCTGGCCTTCAGTCTATAAGTTGCCAACTGGATTATACAGCAAGACAATGATCCAAAGCAAAGGAGTAAGTCCACCACTGAATGGCTCGAAAAAAGCAAAATTAGTTTTGTAGTGGCCTTCTCAAAGTCCTGATTTGAAATCAATTGAGTTGCTGTGGCAGGACATTAAAGGGGAACTTCATGCTTGAAAATTCTCCAATGTCGCTGGACCAAAATTCCACCACAAAGTTTGAAAGACTCCAGTTATTAAAAGTGTTTGTTTGCTGTTATTGCTGCTAATGATGCCACAACCAGGTTTTAAAAAGTGTTATTTTTATTAAATGAATGCACTATATTTCATTTTAATAATGTTTTTATAATATCTGTTAGCATGTATTTATAAGGCGGATGAGGTGCAGGGTAGATGCATAACCGGACTGTGTGAACAGACTCTTCAGTGCTCTCAAGTTCTGTCCTCATGGATTGGCACTTGTGTTTGCTTCTTTCTTTGCCTGTGGTGTTTGCTGCTGAAGGTAATTCATATATTCAGTGTTTTAGTCACTGTGCTGAATAATTACTGGTTTACTTATGTGTACGTGTCAGGGTTCTGCCCAGACACCCTTTTTTCTTGTCTTTGTTTCTCTTGTTTCTCTTGTCTATGTTGTCTTGTGTCAGCACATGGCTTTGTTGTTATTGTTTTTGACAGCCATGTGCTCTTCTAGCCCCATCTCCTTGTCTCCTCTTTACCACACCCCTTGTTAGCCCTTGTCTAGTCCTTGTTGGTCTAATTGTTCTCACCTGTTCCTCGTGTGTTTTCCTCCTATTTATAGTTCCCCTTGCCCTCTTATTTTTGCCGGTTTGTGGTCATTCTCATCCTCACTGTCACTGTCTTTGTCTTGGTCTTGTGGATGTGGCTGAGTATGTGTTCCTGTCTCCTTGCCTGGTTGGTCTTGTGCCCTTGTAGTTCTTTGTTCTTGTCCTTCTCCTTGTTTTTGGATTTGGTCCATTTTTATCTCTTTGCTTTTATTTTGTTCATCTAGTTCTCCTAGTCTTGATCTTTTGTTTGCACTTTTGGTTGATGATTTTTTTTAGTTATTTGTGTTGGTTAATTTCATTATTTCCTATTTATTTTGTTGTTTGACTTTTTATCAGTTCTTTTGTTTTGTCTATCCCCCCTGCCTGCCTTTGTGTTCCTGTGGAGCCTTGTTCTGTTTTGCTGTATTGTTAGAGTTCCTGTCCGGACCTGTTCCAGTAAGTTCCTGCCACTGGTTCCCCTTGCCTGGCACCTGATCCCCTTCAGAGTCTGTGGTCAACAAGTATCTAAGCTCAGCTCTATGGTGCCTTTCTTGGTCCTCTCTAGCTGCCTGGTCTTGCTGCTTCCTCTGCTGATATTCTGCCAGTTGATGTCCAAGGCTGTTCCAGTGGTCTTCCCTAGTTCTCTCTCTAACGGTGTTCTTGCTGTTGAATCACCTGCACACCTCACTACATTGTATATGTCTGTTTTGTAATAAACCCTTTTCACTCACTCTGCGATTGGGTCCTCCTTCCAGATCCCTGACATCTCGATTCGGCCAAGACAGGACCCAGCAGATGAGCCTCACTACTCCAGGTGTTGTGGTTTTTTTTAATATTGTCAAGTCAGCTCTGGCCTTCGTTAATCCTGTCATGTCAGTTCCAGATACTCCTGAGCTGTGGCCATTCCTGAACCAAGCCAGTTTCTAACACCCGAGTCATCTAAGATTGCTGCCACCATCCCTGTAGCAGTTAAACCAGTTCCAAACACCCATAAGTTGACCGAGACTGCTGCAGCTATCCTTGCCGTAGTGAATTCTGTTCCAGTTATTCCTGAGTTGACTGAGACTGCTGTGGCCATCACTGTGTCTGTCAAACCAGTTTTAGACACTCCTGAGTCCACTGAGATCGATGCAGCCATCCTTGCTTCAAGCAAGGCTGTTCAGATCATTCCTGAGATGACCTGTCCGCTGTGGCCTTCCTTGTGTCTGTTAAACCAGTTCTAGTCACCTGAGTCGGCTAAGACCACTGCAGCAATCTAAATCAGTTAAATCAGTTCCAGACACTAGAGTTGATCAAGACCGCTGCAGCCATCACAATGGCAGTCCCTTCCAGTCATTCCTGTGTTGACCCAGAGCATTGTAGCCACCTCTGTGCCAATCAAGTCAGCTTTACTTAACCCTGTGTTAGCTAATCAATATATTTTGTCACCCCCTCAGATGTGGAGAAGGAGGGAACATGCATCTCTACTTATTGGCCTTCCTTGTGAAGTCTCAAGCCATGGGTCCAGGAAGACCTGAGTCAAGAGACCTCAAACCCTGTGAGTCCAGAGGTGTTTAGTTTGGTTGGCCTTGGTCACAGATCCTCAATTTACAGTTACAAAGCAACTTTTGTAACTGTACAAAAGTTTTCCTGAGCCTTCCAGTCTATTTGACTTATCTATAAAATGATGCCAGAGACTGTTCCAGCTTG